TATTATATTTTTAAAATCCCATATTTATTATTTTAAAAGTAATTCAAGGTGGTGAACATACCTAATATCCCTTCTTCATTTTCCCCACAATGACAACCCTGTGAGGTGTGTTAGGTTGAGAGAGAGTGACTGGTCCAAGGTCACCCAGCTGACTTTAATAACTATGGCTGGACTAGAATTCACAGTCTCCTGGTTTCTAGGCCAGAATTTTCATTACATGCAGATGACCTAATTTCAAAATATTCAGCTCTCCTTCCCAACCCCCCCCCCCCAACTTCAACGTTTGGTAAATCATGCCAGGTGAAAAGTTCTAGAAATGTTGAAAGTATCCAAAGTCTTAACAATATTTTGGTTAAGTTTGTTATACAGACATATGGGTTATTATTGTTGTGCTTTTAGCCACAGTGGGTTTGTTTATTTTTCAAGGGTGGTTGATTGCTCTCATTTCTATTCTTGTATATATGTAAAATGGATTGGAGCCATCACAGCATCATGTGTCTGTGTGGTTGAGAGATGAGTAACATCTGTCTCATCAAGAGTGATTAAACTCATTTGAGGAGCCCTAGTTAGTGTGGCCAGTGGTGAATAATGTTAGGAATTGTGGATCAGTAACAGTTGGAGGATCACAAGTTCCCATCCATAGGTTGGGGAGAGACAGTGTATTAGTGGAACATCTTGTTCCTGGATACAAAACATCATTACTCTCAGAGCAATGGTTTTCAAACTTAATAACAGACATAATAACAGAACAGCAGAGTTGGAAGGGACCTTGGAGGTCTTCTAGTCCAACCCCCTGCTCGAGCAGGAAATGGTTGTCAGACAAATGGTTGTCCATTTTCTTCTTAAAAACCTCCAGTGTTGGAGCACCCACAACTTCTGGAGGCAAGTTGTTCCACTGATTAATTGTTCCAACTGTCAGAAAATTTCTCCTTAGTTCTAGTTTGCTTCTTTCCTTTAGTTAGTTTCCTTCCGCTGTTTTTTGTCCTGCCTTCACATGCTCTGGAGAATAGGTTGACTTCCTCTTCTTCGTGGCTGCCCCTTAAATATTGGCTGGGGAACTCTGGGAGTTGAGGTCCAATAATAATAACAACAACAACAATAATAATGATGATGATGATGATGATGGAAGGTACCTTGGAGGTCATCTAGTCCAACCTCCTGCTCAGGCAGGAAACCCTATACCATTTCAGACAAATGGCTGTCTAGTCTCTTCTTTAAAACTTCCAGTGTTGGAGGATTCAGAGCTTCTGGAGGCAGGTTGTTCCACTGGTTAATTGTTCTAACTGTCAGGAAGTTTCTCCTTAGTTCTAGGTTGCTTCTCTCCTTGACTAGTTTCCATCCGTTGCTTCTTGTCCTGCCTTCAGGCTCTTTGGAGAATAGCTTGACTCCCTCTTCTTTGGGGCAGCCCCTGAGATATTGGAACACTGCTATTATGTCCCCCCTCGTCCTTCTCTTCATTAAACTAAACATACCCAATTCCAGCAACCGTTCCTTATGTTTTAGCCTCCAGTCCCCTAATCATCTTTGTTGCTCTTCTCTGTACTCTTTCTAGAGTCTCAGCATCTTTTTTACATCGTGGTGACCAAAACTGGATGCAGTATTCCAAGTGTGGCCTTACCAAGGCATTGTAAAGTGGCATTAATACTTCACGTGATCTTGATTCTACCCCTCTGTTAATGCAGCCCAGCACTGTGTTGCAGAGTTTGAAAACTACTGTTCTAGATTTAGACCTATTAAAATGATTGAAAGACAATGCTTATCTCTGTTGGAGATTGATCAGATCAAACTCCCCCTATATTTTGTATTGAACAAATACTGATTTACATGGAGTATGAGAAAAGAATAATGTTTGAAATGGGTACAAGTGTTTTGTTCAGGTTAGTTCTCAATACTGAAATGTGCAATCTGTGGTTAGTGATAGATGTGGTACTTCAACCCATCTGAATGGCCCCAGATGGCTGGAAATGATAGGTATTGTGATTGGAAATAGGTGCTTTCATCCCCTCATGGTCTGGAAAAAGAGGACTTGCCTGGAGAGCTAGAATTTCAGTGGAAAAACCTAAGTTTTGTTCTGTTAAACTCATTTCATTGTAAAATTGGGCTTGATGTTTGAAATGAGATTGTATGAGCAGAACAGAGGTAAGGGTCCTCCTAGCAGCAGTCCTGCTTCTTCAATAGCATTCTTTCTCTTGGACTTGACAGCTGGGACTTTGCTAAACCCCTCCAACTATGTCTGATAGCACTCGTTGCTTCATAAAGTTGGATGATTTTCAGCCAGGATATTTACACCTTGGGAAACCTGTAGTGATGGAGAATCCGGCTGTACTGATGATTGTGATCTCAATATTTACGGCCAGAACATCTATATTTCTGAATATGGGAAGAAGAAAATGTGTGCATTTCATTTGGTCTCCAAAATGCTTTTAGTGAGCTCCTCCCTAATGCCCTTTTCCAATATGATATGAAATGTCCTAAGGTTTAGAGCAGCAGCCCCCAACCTTTTTGACACCAGAGACTGGTTTTGTGGAAGACAATTCTGGGGGGAGGGGGGAAGGGGAGGAGATTGTAACCAAGATCCCTTGTATGTGCAGTTTACAGTAGGGTTCATACTCCTGTAAGAATCTAATGCCTGATAATCTGAGGTGGAGCTGAGGTGGTGATGCTAGCGCTGGGGAACGGCTGCAAATATAGACAAAGCTTTGCACACCTCCAGCTGTGCAGCCTGGTTCCTAACATGCCATGGATCAGGATCGGTCCATGGACCAGGGGTTGGGGACAGCTGCCTTTGTATAGAGACCATTTGCAGTTACAACGGTGATAAAGTAACTTTACAGCCAATCCTCATATTTATAACCTTTGCAAGTCTGTAAAGCAAAGAAGAGCTATGTAAGATGAGGGGCGTGGGGGGTTAAGTCCTTTGAAAATGGCTAAAGGAACTGGGTATGTTTTGCTGAGAAGTCTGAGGGGAGAGAAAAGAGCAGTCTTCCAACATTTGAAGGTTGTCCCTGGGGAGAGGGTGTTGGTTTATTTTCCATAAAGAGTAGGCAAGAAGTGATGGCTGAGAGCTCACCCAGAGGGAGATGCAACCTGGAAATAAGGAGATACTTCCCCGTGTTGACAACTATCAAGCAGTGGAACAGCTTGCCTCACAGATTTGTGGGTGCTCCATTGATGGATGTTTTCAAGAAAAGATTGGACAACCATTTGTCCATGATGATATGAAGACTCCTGCCTTGGACTGAGATTGGACTAAAAGATCTCCAAGGTCTCTTCCAACTCTATGATTTTAAGATCATAAGCACAGTTGCAATTTTGCTTATCAACCACTTTATTTATTTATTTATTTTATTTATATTTAAACTTCTATGCCGCCCTTCTCCCCAGAGGGACTCAGGGCGGCTCACAGCATGTTAAAAAAACAACACAAAAAACATTTCCCCTGTAAAACCAATTAAAAAGCAAATATATTAATAGCTGTGTCATATTTAAAATCTTTGACAATTTTTAAAAATTATTCCCTATTTAAAATTCACCCTAGGTCAGTCCCGCTTGTTGAAAAAGCCATGTCTTGAGGGCGCGGCGGAAGGTTAGGAGATCCGGAATCGTCCGGATCTCGGGGGGTAGCTGATCAAGCTGCTTGTGGTCTCTAAATAAGAACTTCATATATTCTGCAAATATTTTCATAGGTACAATTTTCAAGTTGGGCTGCTGCCATCCTGTACTTATTAAACTGATTTAATAAGTGAAGAATCTTGCATATATGTGTTAAATTTTGTTCTGTTAGTTTCAACTCATTTTTCAAAAGAATCAAGATTATTTTTGATGCACACGCTGTACATTTCAGCTATCTACAAATTGGATAGGTATTCTTCGCCTCTTCATCTCATTAAAAATAGATGTAATGACTATACCAGTCATGATGTTGATAATGGCTAGAAAAGGCATAGAGGAAGGGGAAATACCTTTGGGCAGAGCTAGTGAGATAAAGACTAAGTTCTTTGTCTGGAACCAGAAATTCCCCAGTCTAATTCCTCAGATCCTACCCTGAAATGATTCAATGGGCATTTCTCTAGGTAAAAACTGAGAAATAAAATACATCCATTAAAAAAACAAACCCATGGTCATCTATGTCCATTAGAACTTTAGCGAAATGCTTTTACTTGCATCTTGGTAACAGTCATTTTGTGGGCAAGAATAGCAGTTGCTTGCAATACCCCACTTCCTTTTTCACTACAGTATAGCCAAATGGGGAAGAGGCCTGTTTATACCACTCAAATTGATTTCCTGTAAGTTCATTGCATCAGCTCCTCTTTGCTGTTCCTTTAGCAGCAACCTGCCTTGTGATCAGCTTTTGTTGCTTGCCCCAACTAACGGTTTCTGCTGAAGGAGCTTGCTTCATCAGCTCTTCTGTGACACGCAAGGAGGAGAGTAGGCTAACTGTTTGGCTTATGTGGTTGAGTTAAGTTCCTTTTCTGATGATCTCTGATGCTGGTGAAAGCACTTATGACCAATCTTTGTCTCCTTCTTTCCTTAACAGCTACACAATAGTTAGAAAGTTGCAGTTTCCAGGTGCCCATCAACAGTCTATATCAGGGGTAGTCAACCTTGGCTCTTTTATGACTCGTGGACTTCAATTCCTGAATTCCTGAGCCAGCTTAGCTGGCTCAGGAATTCTGGGAGTTGAAGTCCACGAGTCATAAAAGAGCCAAGGTTGACTACCCCTGGTCTATATAGATAGGGTTTCCCAAATTTTGAGACCTACCTTCCTTGAGTATAATATCTCTTTCTACATCACAGAAATGATGCCAACAGAGGCAGCAACTCTGGACAGCAGTTATGAAAAGATATAGGAAAGCCAGTTCTGTTCTAATATGTTGTTATGAGGGCCATTACCCCTGAGTTGCAAATACCTGGATGGGTAGCAAATTAGATCTTGGCTTTCATTTAGTAATCATCTTTTGCAGCCTAGATTTAGTGGTTCTATTATTATCATGGTACTCATGAGGAAAGGGAGCACAGATCGTATAATAGAAAACAGGTATCAGTATGCTTGTGGTAAAAAAAATAAAACTAACACATTTTTTTTTTAGTGAGAAACCCTTTCCTCATAGCAATTATAGGAGTAACCCTTAAGATCTTTTTGGTGGAGCTGCCTTGACAGATGTTGCTTTTCCAAAGCAAGCCATTGGCACAGCAGGTCCGAAACTTCAAAGTGGGACACAAAGGAGTCAGATGGTTTCTTGTGGTTTGAACAGACTCTTGGCAAGACATTGCACAAGAACATCACTTAGTTGTAAGAACAGGTACAGTGCATTGGGCAATTATTACTGGAAGCTGCCACTTATTGAATCTTAAGCATGGAAAGTTTCAGCACACGTACATTTTTGAGATATCCCTGCCTTAGAAGAGAATAGCAAGAGCAAAGAAAAGACAGCAGAGGAACCTCTGAATTGTTCAGCATGGATCCTATAGAGAAGTTGTGCCGAACTAATTCAGAAAGTGTTATACTTCAATTGAAAAAGAAATAACTATTAAGAAAACTGTTTCAAAAATGAAACAATTAGTAAATACCACTATCCTCTCATCCACTTGACTTTTGAGGCTATTGGTTTGACTTATTTATCAAAGGAGTTTGTGAATATGTTACATGTTCCTTGTACCACACACTTTTCACTTTTTAATCACTTTGCACATATAACGCTATGCTATGAGATGCAGGTAGTCCTCAACTTACAACAGTTCATTTACAGACCATTCAATGTTACAACGGCATTGAAAAAAGTAACTTATGACCATTTTTCATACGACCTTTGTAGCCGCCCCATGATCATGTGACCAAAATTCAGTTGCCTGGCAACTTATTCATGCTTATGGCCATTGCTGTGCTCCAAGGTCATGTGATCACCTTTTTTTGTTTTTTAATTTAAAACAAAAGCATTTTCCCGAGGGAAAGGTTGGTTATAATTAATTCCAAGATCTTATTTCAAATTTATTTGTAATTTTCTAAAATCAAAGATTTAATCACACTTTTGCTTTTTATTATTTTTTTAAAAAAGTTCTTAAATTTGTAGTTAAAACTTTCTTTTGCTAAGGACTGAAGGCAACTGTCAAACTTGGTGCTGTCAAACTTGTCAATCTAAAAGTTTTCAGTAGTTGAAAAGCAGTTGATAAGCAATTTCTGGATGTGATTTAGAAAAGGAAGCATACAAACTCAATGTCCTTTTCAAAGGCACCAACCACATTTTGAGTAAGGGGGCCATTCCTTCATCTCCCAGGGTTCTGTGCCTGCCAGAGAAACAACTGTTTGGAACGCTTGGGGATGATCTCAAGTCTTCTTCTTGTCCAGAGAAAAATAATTGAAGAACCGGTCTACTCGCCTCTTCATTCTGCCTTGATCAGTGGCTCTGCCTTTCATAGAACTGTCTACAGCTCACCATTTCTTTCTCCTCCCAGAGTCAATGCAGCCCTTCAGTAAATTATTAAGTAAATAAAAGTTGAAGAATAAAAATATGCAAATTTAGAAAAAACATAACTATTCCTGGATTTCTGCAAAGCAATGGTGAACTGAAGACTTTACTTTTAGCAGAGTTGATGACTGTAGTGGAAAATGGAGCTGGTGAGTGAATTAGATCCCCAAAATCCTCTCCAGATAAAGAAGAGGACTTAGGATCACCCAGAATGTTCCTCGCAGATGCTGTCTCTGATGAGACCAGCTGCCTCTAGGAGATTTGAGATTTTAGAGCTCTGGCAGCAAGAACAGTCATTTTTGCCCAAGCCGTAGTTTCTTTGAGTTTCATGACATGGGGTGATTTTCCTTCAACCTGCAGCAAAAGAAGCTTTATGTAAGTTTAAAACTTAAAGAGAAAACTTTTATTTGGAAATAAGCAATAAAAGTTGATTAGAATGTTGATTTTGGAAAGCTTTTAAATGGCATGAGGGACCAGATGGACTGGAAGTAAGATTTGAAAAACATAAGGCATAGTTCCTGTATTTTGTTTAAAATCTTACTAAAATGTATGAAAATGTTGAGTTTAAGTGTAAAAAAATCTCTCCCTGGGAAAATGTGCTGAATGAAAGAAAAACATGATAACAGGAGACCTTGAAGGCTGGTTACCAGAGGCAACCAGAAAAAAAATAAAGATTATAATTAAAGGAGAAGGCCACTAATATAGAATGGAAAAATTATTTTAACTCTGGAAGAATTCAAAGATATTTGGCAACAATGTACCCAGAATTTTCTCTTTAGAGAATCATAATAATAATTTTTACTGAAAATTGAAACTAGAAAGAGAAAATTATTATTGAAAAAAAAAGCAAAACCTAAACTATTCTTTATAATTAGTTTTGGGAGAGAAACAGGGCAGAGAACAAATGAGACAATCCTATTATTAGATCAACTGAAACTGCACATATAAGCATACAATTTAACCAAATGCTCTTTGAGAATTTTCCCACTTTGGTGCTATTTTGTCTTTCCCCCTCTATCTTTCTTCGTAATACTTCTTTGAGGAGGAAGACAGGACAATCACAAAAGGCAGATGATGTCCTTTAGATATTTGGGAAAGTTCCATCATGAGGACAGGGTGGTCGTTCAACAGCAGTCTTAATTTAAAGAATGCTGTTCCCATCCTTACTTTTTGTATTCCTTCTCTAAGTATGACTAACCCTGTACTTTCCATGAAATAGAAAAACTTTGACACACATTTTTAAAATCTCATCTCTCTCCCCCACCCCCATTTTTCTTTTCCAGCTGCAGAAGACAGGATATTGAGGATTAGCTGGCACAGGAAATCGGGTCGAAGTCCACTTCAGACTCTTTACAAGGATGACCAGGTAAATGGACTTCAAAAAACAAAATGGTTGTATACGAAGAAAGAGAACAGGCTATTTATTTATTTATTTATTTATTAAATGTACACACCACCCATCTTGGCAATGGATGTGACACTGGGCGGCTTTCAGTGCAATGAAATAGAAATATAAAATGCAATTATAAATATGATGTTATCCGTTTAGTTGTGTCCGACTCTTAGAGATTCTATGGGCCAGGTCTCTCCACATCTCCTGAACTTAACTTTGAGTTGTTCTGTGCTCTGGCTGATGTCAGCTTTGATGGTGAGTGATAAATAGAGAGACAATTAATAGCTGAAGAAAACTCTTTTTGCATGCAGAGAATGTGACCTTTCTCCCCTCCTCAGCAATTGCTATAAAATTGTGTAGATCATTCTGTGAATTGGAGATTTGGACCCTGCCCACAGCTTTCACATACAAGTATTTTATTTGTAAAGTTTTTAAAGAGCCAAATAGGGTAGGTTTTCTCCACCTAATTTGGAAATACAGGATAATCCCTGTGAGTGAAAGTAAGCCTTCTGTCACTGAATTCCTCATGTCCTTTTTCTTACTCTTTTGGCTGTGCAGATGTAAGAAAATAATCGGGACACACAAAAAAAATCACGGAGGCCAAGTTGCTAATCCAGTCAGTACCTTTTGAGAACTGACATATAGTAAGAAGGGATGTCGACATCTCTTTTTTAATACCTGCCAAACCATCTATTATATTGCTAAGTGATGTTGATAACTAGTCCTAGAATGAGTTGAGTTATCTGGAATGCCAATTTTTTGTTTTAGAAATTGAATCATTCCAGATCCCTTCTACTTGTCATTTTTTTTTACAAACCAAAATTGGAGGATACTAACTCTCTTTGTCTCAGAAATAAGAGCGGGTTATAACTGAGAACTGAGAAAATGACTAAATGAACACCCACAGAGAGGAGTAATATATCTAGAATAACAAACTTGCCTACATATATAAAGAATATTGCAAATGCAAATGTTTATCTAATTTGCTAACTTTAAGAGATTTCCCCTTCATGGATTACTGCCTTGTCATGGTGAAGGGGTTTGCGTAATTCAATGAAGCTATGAGCTATGCCGTGCAGGGCCACCCAAGATGGACAGGTCATAGCAGAGAGTTCTGACAAAATGTGATTCACTGGAGAAGGAAATGGCAACCCACTCCAGTATCTTTGTCATGAAAACCCCATGGACAGTACCAATAGGCAAAAATATATGACGCTGGACAGGAAGGCCTGGAGGAACGTTGTCCATGGGGTCGCGATGGGTCGGACACGACTTCGCAACTAACAACAACAAAAAGAGGTTTACTTTAGAACTGTGAACTCAACCCTAAAAAAATTGTCCTGCTAGGCATCTTAAAAATCTACTGGATACTGCAGCCACCTACAAACAGAAAAGCATATTGTGCTTCCTGAAATTCTCCAGAGGCTCCTACTGTGAAGTGCTTGTGGGTCTCAGAGCTCTATTGGTAGTTTGACATGAATTCTGCCTAATAGGATTTCATCATGAGAGTTGGGAATCCTGGCCTGTTGTAAAACAAAGTATGGCATCAGTGAATAACAATCTGCAACACCTTCAGGTTCACTAAACAATGGTGAATACAAATAGAACTTCAAATAAACTTTTTGTGCAATAGCATAACAGGTGGATAGTACTTGGATGGGAGACTGCCGGGTGCTCCCAGGGCAGTAAGCTATATTGGGGAGCAGGAAAAAAAATCACCTGTAAGAAAGAGAGGGCAAACCACTTTCATATGCTGCCCAGAAAACTACATGGACCTCTCTGTGAAGTAACTTGAAAAGCAGAAACATCTCATATTCAGTGTCTAAAAAGCGATAAAATATGGGGAGGGGGGCGAATGAAGGAATAATAAAAACAATAAGATTCTATGACACTTCCAAGAATGAAATACATAATCCTGAGATAATGTAGGAAAAGGATTAGATAAAACAATCGCTGTGACACCTCTCTGAATACCTGCCCATCTTCCTACCTTGCCTTTCTTCCTTTATAAGACTCTTTTAATGAGAAGTAATGATTTGAATAGGTGGGTTGCAAAGCAGTGAACCAAACTTTAGCATAATCTTTACTTCCAGCCATGCTGTTGAAAAGTCCTCAGGTTTCTATGAAAAAATAAAATGGCGGATAACCATATCTCAGTTCTTTGGTTATAATTGTGCCCATCTGCTTTTGGGGGGGAGGGGAGGAGTATTCTAGAGAATTGGGGATTGGGCTAGCAGGCAAATCTTACCTGTTTGCCTTCTAGTGAAAAGCTGTTTTGTAATTGGCTGCAGCCATTGTCTTATAAAAAGAATGTGCCCCGCCACTAAAAGTCATTGAACGAGAGGGCACATATCATGTGTGCTCCGTATCCTAAATGTGCCCACCCACCCCTGACCTAAGCGTGTGTACATCCAAAGAAGTGTACTTATGAAGTTTATGGCATACTAAATGTGCTCATCTGTCTCTCTTTATGAATATAACACAGACGGTGTAAACAGCTTGCTGAAAGGAGAGCTTTATATATATTTAGTCAAACTGCAAATAAGCACCTTGTTTTAACTATAATTAGGAGGAAGGAAAAAGGTTTTGCCCCTATAAACAGATGCTGCTTTATGCTTTTATAAGGAAAGTTCAAAAGATATCCGAAGTCCATACATGGATAGAATCTTTCCTAGAACCAAAATGTTGCAAAAGGCCCTAGAAGTTTCAGGGATTTTTCTGAACTTTTCGTTAGGTGAAGTGCTACAAAATGTCAGACAGACAAGGAAGAATTAAAAAAAAAAAAGAAGTCCACCATTAGCCAGAAGTTACAGGAAATCAAGAATAAACTCCAAGAAAGAAAGGTATTTCCTGATTTTGTCGTGAGTCATACCATCAAGAGCCAAGCTGAAATCCCTGGTGACCTGAGGCACCCTTTTCTCCTAGGAAAGATCTCCAATTATGGGAAGAAATGAAACTTGGAATAGCCAAGGGCAAATCATGGAGATAGACCTACATTTACAATATTTTGGTTCAAGAGTATTTTGCTCCGGCTAAGAGCACTCAGCTGGGCATTTGGTGTAGGCCTTGATGCCCCTCCATACTAAACCAGTGCATTTTAACATTGTTCATATCTATCATTCCGTAACACTAAAACAAAATCAGAGATGATCGGGGAAAGGAAAGAAGCAACCGAGTCCTTTATTCAGAGGACATACTGATGTTATTCGGAAACCTTGAAAGAGCTGATGACAAATAGTATGGGAGTATTTCCATTCGGAATCCACATTTTGATGGATAGGTAAATTTTGGATCTATACCCCTCTCCTCAGTGTAGACAGATACATTCAACTGAAATATCAATCATAGGAGCAATTAAGTTCAAAATAAAATGGAACATGTTTAGACCCTTACCTTTTCCCCTCACTGCTGCTGCTCCTTAACAGCATTCCTAAGACTGAAAATGAGACACAGTATAGGAAAATTGGTTAAGTAACCTGCTCTCTAAACTGGTCCTTCCCAGTCTGATGACCTAGAGCAGGGGTAGGCAACCTTGGCTCTTTTATGACTCGTGGACTTCAACTCCCAGAAATCCTGAGCCAGCATGGCTCAGCATGGCTGGCTCAGGAACTCTGGGAGTTGAAGTCCACGAGTCATAAAAGAGCCAAGGTTGCCTACCCCTGACCTAGAGTATGTGGGCTCCAAATCTCAGATTTTGACTTTCTAGTTGGGAATTCTGAGGTTACAGTCATGTTCCACCTGAAAGGACCCCCAGGATTACCCAGTTTTTACTTTTTGTTAACCTGTAATTCCTCACTATTAAAGGGTAAGAGCACCACTTTAAGGAGCAATTATAACCAATCTTAAGACTACTGATGAATCTTAAAGGTGTCCAAAGATATCAGCTCCTGTGTAGAGGTATTGGCAGCATGTAGGGGAGAGTATTCTTGGGATCTAACGAAAGGAGCTTGGCACATAGCATGAAGTGACTCCTGTTCCTCCTTATGTCCTTGTCTTATGTCTCCTCAGCTTGAGCAATCTTCCCTGCAGGCAACTCATCGGCGCAGGAGGGAGCTGCTAAGCAGTATGTGCCATCGTTATACCCGCAAGCGACGCCTCCTAACTCCAGATGACTTGCGGCACCTGGTGGTGGATGATGTTCATGAGCTGCTCTACTGCTATGTCCCCAAGGTGGCTTGCACTAATTGGAAGAGGGTCTTGATGGTCTTGACAGGGCAGGGTAAGTACCAGGACCCCCTGGAAATCCCAGCACATGAAGCTCATGTACCTGCCAACCTTCGCACTCTCTCCGAGTATAGCACTCCTGAGATCAACTACCGCTTGCGTAACTACCTCAAGTTCATCTTTGTACGGGAGCCTCTGGAACGGCTGGTCTCAGCCTACCGGAACAAATTCACCCGTAGCTACAACACGGCATTCCATAAGCGCTACGGGACCAAGATAATCCGGCGGCACCGTCAGGACCCTAGCAGCGAGGCCCTGGAAAGTGGCCATGACGTGCGTTTTGAGGAGTTTGTGTACTATCTGTTGGATCCAAAGACCCAGCGTGAGGAGCCTTTCAACGAGCATTGGGAGCGAGTGCACTCCCTTTGCCATCCATGCATTGTCCACTATGATATCATTGGCAAGTATGAGACCTTGACTGACGATGCCAACTATATCTTGCAATTGGTTGGGGCTGATGCAGGCATCAAGTTCCCCGCCTCATCTAAGACCATCAGAACCAACAATAACCTGACTGCAAAGTTCTTCAAGAATATCAGCCCCTTCTACCAAAGAAGATTATTTAATTTATACAAGATGGATTACTTGCTCTTCAATTACACCATCCCTTCTTATTTACATCTACGATGAGGCTGGTGACAGGCCCTTTCCTCATCGTTTCTGCTGTCAACCAACAGACATGGATATGAGATGCTTACAGTTCTACCTATGCCCGTTTTTTGTTTATGTTTGATCAGCACACAGAGTTCTCTCCGTATTTTGTTCCTGTTTCAGTAGACAGAATCTACGATGGTTTGTCTATCCTTCCTCCTGTTCTTAACCAAACAGCATTTGTTTCTAGGAAGCACTGGAACTATGTCCTTTTGTCAGGAGGTGGGAGAATCTGTGGAAGTAGGAGACATAATAAAATGTGCATGCATTTAATGTGTTCAGTTATAATCCCCTCGCACCTCTCTCCTCCACACTGATGGAGGAAAAGGGAATATGAGCCAGAAGTATCTAACTGCAAACAGAGGCAGAATTGTGTATGAGATAAGAGTCTTCTGTGTCTCCCCCTTTTACCATCCTTGCAGCTGGTGTTTCAGAGAACTGTATTTTCTTGGAAACACCTCCCCCCCCCCCCCGCATTTCCCCATCAAGTTCTGCTGCCATGCAGATTCCATCAATTTGCACTGGAGTGATGCTTAGTGGATTGCCCACTTGTCTGTGCAGATTTGTCTGTATGAGAAGATCTTGACCAAAAGAAATATTTAATTATTTGCCTTGGCCTTTTTTTCATGTGACTATGTTTTGGGTATGTGCAAAAATTGTTGTGGTGTCCTGTTTTATGTAGGCCTAATCAAACCATGCTCCAGAATCAAGCTCTTCAGTTTAATTAGTGGACCCTCATTCAGATGGGAGAAATGAACTCCTGTAGAACTGTATTTTTTGTAGGTGATACCAAAGACACTGGCAGGGCAGCAGGCTTGGGCAGTGTCCACTTGACTAGAATTCTTATATATGAAACTGGATTGAGCTCAGAGAGAGTTTTAAGAAGAGAACCGATTGTTCTTCTGGAACAGGCATTCCCCAGATATGTTTGACCAAAACCTGTCTTCTCTTGCCAGTATGACAGCACTCATGGGTGATAATGGGAATCTGGCACATTTGGAGAGCACGGAGTTGTGAAAGCTGAACAGAGCATTGATCAGAGGTTCTGCTGTGCCTTTAAATAGTATCCCCCAGAAGACATATCATTAACAGTGCCTTTTTTTGTAGAGCATTGCTATATTGTCTCAATCATGTTTTCTGTCTAAAATAGCTGTCTCCTTTTTCTAAGCGGGAGCATCTGTTTTACTGTAGAAATCAGGGTATGGCTTTGGAGACAGAGATTGCATGTGGACTTGGGCTGTACAGAGAGAAACAGAAATTTAACTGGTAAAATTGGAGGGTTGTACTTGAAGTGACAATCCTAGAAGACCACATTTAATTCAGTCCACCTGGACAGCTTTGCTTAAGTTGGCATTTTTGTCTCCACATGGTTACATTTCTATGTATACCAAAATATATGCCCTCATTTATGTAAATTGGTTGGAAGTGGAGTTATTGTACAACAGCATCCCCCAACCTAGTGCCTTCTGGATGTGTTGGCTCTTAACACCCATAGGTCCCACTAAGCATGTTCAGACTGTCTGGGAATCAGGGGAATTCAAATCTAATACAGATTCTGTCTGAATAATTTGATTTATGCAATATGCTACCGAATGTACTTGTTTGCATGAAGTATTATAAGGTAGACATATTAAAGACATCATGATTTGGTTCTGCTGATTCCTGCTGTATGAATGTGGCATTTCCACCCCGTAGTTGCTTGCTTTTATTAGGAGAGAATGAATTCCCAAGAGAGGATTGAATAGTTCAGAGTTTGAATTAGTCAGTTCACCTGTACAGCACCCCAGTATCAATCCAAGCTTTAATTTTAGGTAGCTTAGATTCTGACCATGGCTTTTTCTTACGATGAGACATTTGGCAATAAGATTGAGTGTTCTTATGGGTGGAATGATGTGACAGGAGGGCAAGGTACTTTGTGATTAATTCAGAATTCAAATTCAAATCTGTCTCCAATTGTCAGCTTTGCAAAATAGGCCAGACTAGAAGCACCCTCAGATGAACTAGATCTAACATTATTATTGTAAGATTACATTAACAGAATCTTGTAAGTCTGAAAATACCTCTCTTCCCCCATCTTTATAATCCAAGGAGGGTCCCTTCTGAGATGTTTGCCTCACACTCATTCCTTCTGCTGATTCAGCTGTCTCTTATCTAACTGTTGCCTGGTCTGCTTTTCTTTCTCCTGTCTCCAAAGTCATTCATGCATACCATTGCACCAAGTTTGCAATCTCTGGGAGATGTAGCTAGCTTATTGGCTGGGAATTCTGTATGTTTGATCCCAGCATATAGGAAAGGCACCAGCTTGGGAAGGGTGTTATTTACTTTGCAAGTATGTAATTACTGTACACTAACATGTAACCAGTGATGCTGTCTGCTCCTTGGTTTGCAACTTTCCCATTGCTTGACAATTAATTAATTACATTTAAAATACCAATGAATTAGAAATCCATATTATTTAAAAACTGAACTAGGCAATTGTAGTAATCTCCTCAAAAGATTGTCTAAAAGCATCAGGAATAAAACTTAAATGTGTGCCAATATACAAAATTCAGGGATCAGTGAAATATGAGAAGAAAACTTTGTTACCTAGTGATTAAACTTACTTTTAAAAATAAACATAGCTAGCTAGGACTATTATGTTATTTAGATAAAAATTCCCATTGGCATATTTACTTCTAGTAAATTGATATTTATTCTTGTTCTAGACACATGTTTCCGCTAAAGTGAACAGATCCACCCAAAATTATTTCCATTGGTGAAGTAGCTTGCAATCTTCTCTCTTCCTCCCTGGGAAATCATACTGAAGTTAATAGTATTTACCTTTGAGTAGGCAACTATAAGATTATGCTGTTGGACATAGGAAAAAAACCAGCAGGATCTGCATATGCTCAGGAACATTGCAGATTTTTTTTTAATGACTAGCTTGTGATTTGGTTTATTTGTTTGTTTTTTAAATCCAACATTTTTGTTTATCTCAGTGGTAGCTTATCAGTTATTTTAACTTGTGAAGATAAAATGCAATGGGCAATTGAGAATCATATTCATCACTGAAATCCTAGCAGAAAAACAGAATACAAATGTAATAAGACATAACAATAGTATAATCAGGGAAAACAGTTAACATGCAGAATATAAATATAAACTGCATCAGGAACATCAAATAATTTTAACAAGACAAATGTATTAAGCAAGTGACTCTCTAAAACAGACATGTCAAACTCGTGACATCGTGTAACGTATCGGGACAGTTTTGCCATTGCCGGCAATCGGGTGGGCGTGGCTTCTGCGTGACGCATCCGGCCTGCGGGCTGGCAGTTTGATACCCCTGCTCTAAAAACACACAAACCACCAAGAACCATCACTGACTGAAAGCCATCATTGCAGATGAGGCCTAGCTGCTTCACTACCAAACATTTGACAGTAATGGAAGTGAAACTTCAGATATTGGTCTCAGATGTTCAGGCAGGTTATGTCCTGATTTATGTACTTTAGCTGAAGTTTATAGGTAGTAACTGAACCAATATTATCAGAAAAATGACATGAAATCATAAGAGATGGTTAGTTTATGCATTTTTGTCCTGTAAGCAACAGGCTGTTTCTATCATATGCATTGAATTAGATTGAATTAGAAAATTGAATTAGAAAGTGATTAGGGTTTGTTTAATACCCTTGAGCCAAGACTGATTCGTGCCAAGTGGCTTGTCAAGTCCCTGCAGTTTTCTTGGCATTATTTTTTTTTCCCAGAAGTGATTTTTGCCATTGCCTCTTTCCTGAGGCCGAGAGAGAGAGAAAGTGACAGGCCCAATGCCACCCAGCTGTCTTAGTGCCTAAGGCAGGACAAGAATTCCCAGTCTTCAGCTTTCTAGCCTGGTGCCTTTAACCACAATCTCACAAACTGATTCAGGCGGGAGATGCATCTGTCAAGTGCAAAATACCCATTTCAAGTGGGATGTAGCTGGTTTCAAATTTGGGGTGGCTTTTTCAATAATTTTGGAAGTAGTTCAAGCCTGAAATGTTTATAGACTGAAGAAAACAGCCCATGTCTACATGTGAATCAGTTATTTGTTCTGCAAGTAAAATGGTTCAAACAACAAAACCATTCAGATTAAAAATGCGCAGTCCTACTGCAAGTACATCTGCACATTGTTGCCTGATGAAAAATTGAGGTAATAAAAATTAAAAAAAGGGGGGGGGAATGAGAAAAGAAAAAAATCACATCCTGTGGTAATAACATTCACATGCTTATTCTGAAAGAAATCGTAAAAGCACAGAGAAGTTTACTGGTTATATTTATGGGATGAACTGAACTGAACTCCTGAACTGAAAACTAATGTAGGAACCTTGCATGTGAGATTTTAGAGTTCCATTTCTAATGAGATTGAATAAATCATGACTAACTTCGGGCAAGCATGCCCTGTGAAGGCAACCAAATTTTGAATGTGCATGGGGGATGGCATTATTTATTTTGTTGCTAAGATTTCTCTACCCTTCATTCAGACTGCTGTTAAGAAGTATATAGGATAAACAAAGTTAAGAAACGAATAATAGTATCATCCATAGTAGTGCCATCCACCAGTGACAGGTCCAAACTTAACCCCCTCCCCCCCAAATATGCTATCCCACAACAAGGTTTTCACAAGCTTGTGGAAACTCATCAGGGAAATGGAGGGCTGTGTCCAGGAGGACAAGCTGTTCTCCATTGAAAAGGCTCAACTACAGGGTCTCTGCTGCTGGAAATATTCTACATATACAGAAAAAACACACACACACACACTAGAGAAGCCAATCTATCAAGTGTCACTTGTCACTGTTCTTGGCATGTAGCAGTCGATTTATGCACCTCTTGGCTTGTAAAGGAAGGGGTCGGAAGAGCAATTTCTCCCATCTTTGCAGCTCACCAGTGGAAGGAGCCCCAAAGTCCAGATTTCTTTCTTCCCTTAGTTCCACTAAGGCAGCGGTTCTCAACCTATGGGTCGCAACCCCATTTGGGGTCGATCGACCATTTCACGGGGGTCGCCAAGCAAGGCTGTCCACCAATTTTTCTCCCTTTTCCGGTGGGTGCCTTACCTCCCTTGAGCTGGGCCAGCTGGTGGTCGGCCTGCTCCGTCTCTGCCGCTTGCCAGCTATGCCTCGGCCGGCGCAGGGGGCGGAACCACGCATGTGCGGCGCTCCCGGGCAGGGAAAGTCCTCGACTTACGACCGGTTGGGTAGTCCTTGACTTACGACCGGTTTAGTCCTTGACTTACGACTGGTTTAGTCCTCGACTTACGACCTGTTGGGGGTCGCGGCATTAAAAAGATTGAGAACC